AACAACAAGGGCTCGGCCTTGTTCACCCGGAGGAAACACTTCTTCTCCCAAACTTTCCTGCTCGGAAAGTGGTGCCGTGGCCGGTGCTGGAGCTAAAGGGTGAGAGTGGACCTGCTCATTCTTCTGGTGGAGAGATGTCCACGGAGATGGAACTCCTTTCCCAGAATCCACCAAAACAATGGAGTCGCTTCGGCATCAACTCCTAAAACCAGCCCGAGCCAAAAAAAAAGAACTTTACCAAAACTTTTTGCATTTCCAGCCAACAATTGTCACACCACTCAAGTCACACCACTCGTGACCTGGAGCTGACGTGCACAAGCGTGAAGTCCACGTTGGGTGGAGTAACCCTTCACAATGGTACCATTGAGTGATTATGATTTGTTCTTTCATTCAATGTTTCTAAAGTTTGCTGTTAGGACGGTCTGAGCGTTCTGAGTCAGATCCCATGTTTTCTGGCCCTCTGCCCTGAACATCCCCCCCTCCTCCCCCCATTTTTGGACAGGCCCAGGTGTCCGATTCTTGCCCAGAGATGACAGCGTACACATAATGAGTGGAGTCCAGGTGCTTGCTCTGTGCGTGCTGTGGCTGCATTCCAGCTGGAACAACCACCATCATCCCCCTCCCTTCCCCATTACAGGAATCCTCCCGCTACACAGGGACACCAGGGGTGTCCATACAGGGAGCAGCCTCCCGGTGGAGGTGGCCGCGTTGGTTTCTGGGTGGTCCGCGTTAGACACGTCCACAGCAGTGCGGTAAAAGGAACCACTGCCTGCTCCTTCCTCACCCTCCGCTATGAATGGATAGCTGAAGGTCTCTTGGACAAGCGGCTCCTCAATTAGAGGGAATTAACATTTAAACGTGGTCTGCTTCAATGGCTGCGCTCAACGCCATTTTCTTTCAGTCTTTCTAATTATGTGACTTTCATTCTGAATGTTCTATGAGGCAGAGAGAAAGAGAGAGAGAGACGGAGCACCCAAACACCGAGAGAAAGGGGAATACAGAGAGAGACAGAGCACCCAAACACCAAGAGAAAGGGGAGTACGGAGAGATACGGAGCACCCAAACACCAAGAGAAAGGGGAGTATGGAGAGACGGAGCACCCAAACCCCGAGAGAAAGGGGAGTATGGAGAGACGGAGCACCCAAACCCCGAGAGAAAGGGGAGTATGGAGAGACGGAGCACCCAAACCCCGAGAGAAAGGGGAGTATGGAGAGACGGAGCACCCAAACCCCGAGAGAAAGGGGAGTATGGAGAGACGGAGCACCCAAACCCCGAGAGAAAGGGGAGTATGGAGAGACGGAGCACCCAAACCCCGAGAGAAAGGGGAGTATGGAGAGACGGAGCACCCAAACCCCGAGAGAAAGGGGAGTATGGAGAGACGGAGCACCCAAACCCCGAGAGAAAGGGGAGTATGGAGAGACGGAGCACCCAAACCCCGAGAGAAAGGGGAGTATGGAGAGACGGAGCACCCAAACCCCGAGAGAAAGGGGAGTATGGAGAGACGGAGCACCCAAACCCCGAGAGAAAGGGGAGTATGGAGAGACGGAGCACCCAAACCCCGAGAGAAAGGGGAGTATGGAGAGACGGAGCACCCAAACCCCGAGAGAAAGGGGAGTATGGAGAGACGGAGCACCCAAACCCCGAGAGAAAGGGGAATACAGAGAGAGGCGGAGCACCCAAACACCGAGAGAAAGGGAATACAGAGAGAGGCGGAGCACCCAAACACAGAAAGAAAGGGGAGTACAGAGAGAGGCGGAGCACCCAAACACCGAGAGAAAGGGGAGTACAGAGAGAGGCGGAGCACCCAAACACCAAGAGAAAGGGGAGTACAGAGAGAGGCGGAGCACCCAAACACCGAGAGAAAGGGGAGTACAGAATAAAGAGAAGGAAAAGTCAGGAGAGGGGAGATAGAAGAGAGGAGAGAAAGAGGGTGAGTAAAGAGAGGAGTGAGAGATACAAGAGAGCAAGGAAAGAGGGAGAGGAGAGGGGAAGAAGAGAGAGTAGAAAGGCAGAAGAAAGTGAGGAGAGAAAGAGAGAAAAGAGCGAAAGAGAGGAGAGAGAAGAGAGAGGAAGAAAGAGGAGAGAAGAGTGGGACAGGAGAGAGAAGAGAGGGAGAGGAGAAAGAGGGAGGGGGGAAAGAAGAGAAGAGAGAGGGGGGTGAAAGAAGAGAGAGGGGGAGAGGAGAGGGGAAAGAGAGGGGAAGAGAGGAAGGGGAGGAAGAGAGGAGGGGGTGAAAGAAGAGAGAGGGGAAGAGAGGAAGGGGAGGAAGAGAGGAGGGGGTGAAAGAAGAGAGAGGGGGAGAGAAGAGAGGAGAGGGGAAAGAGAGAGAGAAAGGAGAGGAAGAAGAAAGTGATAGGAGAGAGATAAAAAGATGAGATGGGAAGAGAGAGACGAGAAGAGTGGGAAAGGAGTGAAGGAGGACAGAGAGGGAGAAATAGAAGAGAGAAGAGATACAGAGAAGAAAGAACAGAGGAGAGAGAAGAGAGGGAGCGAGAGAGAAGAGAGGGAGCGAGAGAAGAACTGAACTCTTATCCTCCATATGGGACAGGAAAGAGAGAGACAATGAAGACAGAGAGAGAAATGAATGGGGGGAGGGGGGGATAGGTGACCTGGAGCTGGATTTGCGGATGGAGATGACAGTAAAGATGCTGATAGAGGAAAAGGAAGACAGACATAAAATGGGCTTTGGTGGGGGAAGTCAAGCGTCTCCCATTTCACTGCAGGGTCTAGGCAAGATTTCCAGGTGTCGGAGACGTTGTGGCCCCCAGGTCCCCTGGGCCCCGGCCCCTTTCATGGTTTGACCTTGTGACAGGATCAGTGTGGAGTGGAGCCGGTCTGTCTGCAGGGGGGATTGGGGTTAATGAGGATGTTTAACACCCCGAGGCTGACAGGAACCAACTGCTTAGACTGACACAAGGCTCACCAGGGCCCATGCGTGGCCCGCCGAGATGCCTGGTACACCACAGGGCTGGCCCTGCTTTTGGTGCGCCAAGTGGCGTTCATATGAGAATTTATTTTTTTTTCACCTGAAAATAAAGTGGACCTGTCGTATATATTGGCAACGGCTATTTTGTTCCCAAACCTCAACCAATAAACGGTCAACATTCCCAAACCGATGTAATGAGCGGCTAGAACGCCTTTGGTGGGCAAGCTTACAATGACAGGGTCTCTTTATCTGTGCTCAGTGTAGGAGTAGAAATTCTCAGAATCCTCCAGACATGATTGCGGGCAGCAATGATCTGCACATTGCGCAAGTGTCAGGGTGAGGCGGCTATTCCCACCTGACACCGAGCACAGCATTTAACTCTACATGTTCCTTTTCCTGGCTGACTCACCATTACGCAGATGAGACTTTCCATCGCCCGGGGGTCACCATCGGTAGCCCCAGGCTGTGAGATTGCACACGAACATCCTTGTTTACCAGAGAACAAAAATTCCGGATCATTCAGGTCATGAGTTTGTATGATCAATGCAAAACATTTATCAATCGGTCCTGTGTGACAGATCACTGAGCCCCTCCCACCAGAGTACGAGAATGGTAAACCCCATTAGTAGAGGGGTGTTGGTAGAATGATGGACCCCATCACCAGAGGGGGTTGGTAGAATGGTGGACCGTATCAGTGGAGGGCTCATCAGTATAAGGGTCTTGGTAGAATGGTGAACCTCATCAGTAGAGGGGTGTTGATAGAATGATGAACCTCATCATAGAATGGTGTCGGTAGAATGATGAACCCCATCAGCAGAGGGGTCTTGGTAGAATGGTGAACTTCATCGGTAGAGTGGTGTTGGTGGAATTCTGAACCTCATCAGTAGAGGGGAGTTGGTACAATGGTGAACCTCATCAGTAGAGGGGTGTTGGTGGAATTCTGAACCTCATCAGTAGAAGGGTGTTGGTAGAATCTCATCAGCAGAGGAGTTTTGATAGAATCATGAACCTCATCACTAGAAGGTGTCAGCGGTAGAATGGTAAACCTCATCAGTAGAGGGCTGTCAGTAGAATGGTGAACCCCATCGGTCGAGGGCTCATCAGTAGAGGGGTGTTGGTGGAATTCCGAACTCAATCAGCAGAGGAGAGTTGGTAGACTGGTGGACCCCATCAGCAGATGGGTGTTGGTAAAATGGTGGACCCCATCAGCAGAATGGTGAACTTATCAGTGGAGGGCTCATCAGTATAGGGGTCTTGGTAGAATGGTGAACCCCATCAGCAGAGGAGTTTTGATAGAATAATGAACCTCATCACTAGAAGGGTGTCGGCAGTAGAATTCTGAACCTCATCAGTAGAGGTGTGTTGGTAAAATGGTGAACCCCATCAGTAGAGGAGTTTTGATAGAATAATGAACCTCATCACTAGAAGGGTGTCGGTGGTAGAATGGTGAACCCCATTAGTAGAGGGGTGTTGGTGGAATAGTCCCTTCCACACTGACGCAATAGGAGCCATACAGTCGACTCTTCCCACCATAGCCCCCTCATTGTCCTGCCTCATTTTTATCATTTTACTGTTTTCTAAGTTTATACCGAGCCCTAATCGGGTACAAGGCAGCATTGTGTGTGACAAGACAGGAAACTATTCCAGAATGATGGGCGCTTTGTCCTCCGCGCTCCGGGAAGGGCCGCAAAAAACACGATTAATGGAACAGGGCGTGCTTTTCATAACTCACATACCTCACAATCTGCATGTTAGGGGAATGAAACACTTTTATGCTTGATTTTAAATGTATTTATTTGTATGTCCTGTGACCACTGTCATGTGATGGAAAATCCAAAATGTTTGCGTTGTCACCAGAACATGAAGCAAGAGAAAATCTTCCTGTTCTGGTGCCAAATGTCTAAGGAGGGGATTTCCCTCCCTTTCAAGGGATTTTCTCTCACTTCCTGTTGTGGCCACAGGTCAAGAAGTGAAATCTGCAATCACTGATAAGAAGTGACAGGGCCTCTTTAAGTGTCCACTTTAAGATAGACTCTTGTTTCCCTGCTCTAACCCGTCTCTCTGCTCTCCGCAGCTTCCTGTGGGACGATTACTCGGTAGGAGTCCAACTCAACGACTACTTGGACATTGTCTGCCCACACTACGAGGAGGAGAACGTCCCGGGGAGGACGGTGGAGCGCTACACCCTCTTCCTGGTGGATTATGAGGAGTACACCACCTGCAAACCGCTCTCCAAGAACCAGGTCCGGTGGGAGTGCGACAACCCCTTTGCCCCCCACGGGCCCGAGAGGTTCCGCGAGAAGTTCCAGAAGTTTACCGCCTTCAGCCTTGGGAAGGAGTTCAAGGAGGGAAACAGCTACTATTATATCTGTAAGTGCCACCAACATAACAGGCGGAGAGGTTATTGTGAACAGGAACAGTTTAATATGTCTCTTGGGAAGGGTCTGCACACCATCTATGCCCGTTAAGAGGGGCTCCCACCATCCATGAGCCAAGATTTCAGCTCTGCCCACATGCCATGTGCATTATAAGGGGTTCCCACCATCCATGTGCTCAGTTCCTGGGTCTGTTCACCTGCTGTGCTTATTATGAGGGGTTCCCACCATCCCGGAGTCGAGTTCCCGGTTCTGTACACCAGCTGTGCCCATTATGAGGAGCTCCCTCCATCCCTCTACTGAGTTCCCGACTCTGTACACCAGCTGTGCCCATTATGAGGAGCTCCCTCCATCCCTCTACTGAGTTCCCGGGTCTGTACACCTGCTGTGCACCCTATGAGGGGTTCCCACCATCCCTCTACTGAGTTCCCGGCTCTGTACACCAGCTGTGCCCATTATGAGGGGCTCACACCATCTCTAAGCTGAGTTCCCGGGTCTGTACACCTGCTGTGCCCATTATAAGGAGCTCCCACCATCCCTGAGTTGAGTTCCCACCTCTGCCCACATGCTGTGTAGATTATGAGAGGTTCCCACCATCCCCGCCCTCGGTTCCCAGCTCCACCGTGAACCACAGAGGGACATCCCACCGCTGTAGAACTCATGGGATAGAAGCCACCATGGAGTGACTGAGTTCAAAGGAAAGTTAAATCATTAATGCCGTTTATAGCGGAGCTGCTTTCAATGCCCTCACTTCATCCCGCTAAGAATGAACAAAAACCGGCTTTTTCTGTTATCTGATGGGACTTTGGCAAGTGAAAACAGATCCGATAAGCTTCCCGGTAAAGGGCAAGCAGAGGCAGCACAACAGCCACCTTCTATTACTCTGCACGCAATAAAAGCCCATCGGCAGTTTATCTAAACGCATTTCAGCTATGTTAAAGTTCCACTCTCAGGGGGAAGACTTTTCCCTGCGCACGGCTTACTTCCTGCAAACAATCACTGCCAGATAACATTAAATATATACAGACAACGTGCAATGTGATCACTATTTGGCACGATCGGGGTCTGTTTTTACCCCAATGCTAGAGCAATTTGGATCACGCCGGCCGCGATTATGCTGATATTGAAGTCCCCCCCCCCCCTTATCCCTCCATATGGGAGGTTGTCTCTCCCTCACACGGTGGATTTGTGGCCATACACACAGCTGTGTTTTGGGGGATCCGCAGAGTAATCCCCGGCCTTTGTTCCAGAGGCGGCTCTCCTGGGAACGAGTCTGTGCTGGCACGGCGCGGCTCATCCCAACGCAAGCACGGACAGGACACTGCCGTCTGACGATGTCTGTGCGGGGTGTGTCAGCGTAGTGCAGACAGGTCCTCTTTGCAGGAATCAGCACAATAAGTTCAGGATGGCGGGAGGGAGGAGGGGGGTTCCTGCCGGGAGATTGTCCATTGTGTGCCGGGTGAAGAAGGGGTGGGGGTCATCCTCCAGCTTCTGTCTTGTATCTCACCATGACATTCGCTTGTCTTTGCAGCCAAACCCATCCACCATCACGGCGAGTCGTGCCTCAAGCTGAAGGTCCACGTGGGCGGCAAAGCCAGTAAGTAGCCGGACATTTGTCCCCAAAGCTTGGCGGGTCAGGTATTTCACCGGGGGAGCTAGATAGATGCCACAGACTACGCCGGGGCTGAACAAATCTGCTGTGCCACGGCACCAAAATGCCTTAAAAAAATGACCAATCTCTGTCACCATTCCATCTTCCCGATCCCGAGTTGGGGCGCCAAATTACCAACTTCTCTGAGTCCAGTGATATCAGACTGACTGGCTACTGAACTCATGTCTGCCCCCCCCCCCTGTACTCAATGCGGCCAATCTGACTATTGCCATTGGCAAGGGCATCCTTAAGTGACCAATCTCTGCCATCAATCCAGCCTCTCGATTCCAAGCCGGGGTGCCAAATTACCAGTGATATCCAGTCCAGTGATATCAGACTGACTGGCTACTGAACTCTGTGAGCTCATCTGGGCCCCCATGACCCCGATCTGAATACTGCTTCCTAAAGAGTCCAATCTCTGCCAGGATCCATCCTCCTTTGTCAGGGCGCCAAATTACCAACTTTTTTGAGTCCAGTGATATCAGACTGACTGGCTACTGAACTCTGTGAGCTCTTGTCTGCCCCCCCCCCATGTACTCAATGCGGCCAATCTGAATATTGCCATTGGCAAGGGCATCCTTAAGTGACCAATCTCTGCCATCAATCCATCCTCCCGATTCCAAGCCGGGGCGCCAACTGCCGAGTCGGGGCGCCAAATTACCAACTTCTGAGTCCAGTGCTATCAGGCTGACTGGCTATTGAACTCTGTGAGCTCATCTGGGCCCACATGTACTGATCTGAATATCACTTCCTAAAGAGTCCAATCTCTGCCAGGATCCATCCTCCTGATCCCTGTGAGGGGGAAGGTATTTTTCTGGCACCAGACGCAGGGCTCGTTTCCTGCCAGCTAGAATAACTTTACTCACACAATTTCCCAGACAGAGCTCGAGCCGAATCAATTTTTTTAAATCATTTACCGTCTGTCCGTGTGGCTCGAACAATTGTTTTGGTGACTCAGATGGGGTCAAAAAGTCCAGCATGATAAGAATGCTAAAATATTCCCATAGGACCTCCTAGGATTGGGTAAAACATGTCAGTGGGCGGAGTCATGTCTGACAAGGGAAAGCATGTCTGTCTTCCCTATCCAGTATCAATAAAGCTTGTTGCAGTGGGTGGTGGAGGTAAAAAGTCCCTCAGTCCATGTAATAACTGTTCTCTCTTTGTCTCTGCAGCTCAGCAGCCGCTCACCAATGTCCACACCCCGCGAGCCGGAGTCCTTTCGGGTAAGTTCCCATGGTGCTTTGCTGCTTGCTGTAATTAGAGCAGGGTAGAGCACTGGCCCCGGGGACTCACCTCAATGTCAGCCGCCCTTCCCGCCCTGTTCCCGGCAATGAGATCCAGATGCTGAGCTGCTAACTCCCCGGCCTTGTGCCGAGCCTCAGCCTTCGTGTTATTTCCCGGCCTCTAGTACATGTTAAAAGGGACGCTGAGGGTTTTCTAGATCCTCCAGAATGGTGAGGTCTTTGTCTTCAGTTATGAAGAATAGGAGAAGCTGGTCACTGGTCCACCCCTCTGACCCTTGGCCCCTCAAGTTGGTCACTTGTTCTCCCCCTGGCTGCTCCTGCTGGTCATATGTCCTCCCTCCTGACCCCTCCGGCCAGTCACCCCTCCAGGTGGTCACAAGTCCTTACCCCTCCAGACTCTTGGCCCCTTTGCCTGGTCAAATGTCCTCCCCTGAACCTTTGGCTCCTCTGGCTGGTCACTCGTTCTCCCCCTGGCCGCTGCGGCTGGTCACACATCCTCCTCTCTGACTCCTCCAGTTGGTCACAAGTCCTTCACCCTTACCTAGCTATCTGGTCACACACCTTGCCGTTGGACCTCTGGCCCCTCCACCTGCTCAAATGTCCTCCCCCTGACCATTTGGCTCCTCTAGCTGGTCACTTGTTCTCTGGCTAGTCACACATCCTCCCCCCTGACCCCTCCAGGTGGGCACAGGTCCTTCTCACCTCTGGCTAATCACACACCTTCCCCTCAGAACCCCTGGCCCCTCCACCTGGTCAAATGTCCTCCCCCTGACCCTTTGTCTCCTCCGGCTGGTCACTTGTTCTCCCCCTGGCTGCTCCGGCTGGTCACACGTCCTCCCCCCTGACTCCTCCACTTGGTCACAGGTCCTTCACCCTTACCCCTCTGGCTGGTTACATGTCCTCCCCCCTGACCCCCTCCATCAGGTGACGGAATTCTCACAACCTCCTCCTCTTCTCTCTACAGATGGCCCATCAGATGACCTCCCGGGAGTCATGAAGAGCATCGCTCACAATTCCGCCAGCAGACATTCCTCACTCATCATCGTTGGGCTCCTCTTCCCCTTAGTCCTGGCGCTTGGACTGTGACGGAACATTCCGGACTAGGGAGTGGACTGTATTCAGCTGGACAGGGCTGGAGCAGTGCCAAATGACAGAGCCTGGACGCGAGTCACGTGACCAAAGAGAAGCAACGTCTCGAAGACGCACAAAGCGCTTGTATGTAGCCAAAGAACCGTGACCGCGGTGCACTTTCCGCAGAGCTGCGCCCGTGTGCCGGCACCGGACTGATCGCCACTGTGGCCGGGGGCGGGTCAATATCTCAAGCAGAGCCTCGCGGGCAGAGATCTGTACCCTGACCCCCCCCTGCCCTTACCCCCCCATAATCTCTATGAGATGAAAGCGTTGAGCGCGCAGCTGAACCACTGACAGTATTTCTGGCGCCGGGCCTGGCGCGGAGGACGCGTTGTGTACAGATGTAAATACGGCGGATTGTATAGAGTATATTTATAGAGGACTTTAGTATTCACTGTATAAACCACTAACTGCCAACCACCGAACAAAGCCCCCCCCCAACCTGGAGGAGGAACTGGACAAGCCTGAGCGATCAACCCCCATGACCCCGCACCCTGCGCTCTTCCCGGGCCGATGTGTTCAAATGACCCCCAAAACCCCGCCCCCCCTGCGCTCTTCCCGGCCGGGAACGATGCCAACTGGATGTGAATGTGTATAATTGTACAAAAGACAAAGATATAAGCTTTTTATAGGACTGTTTTCTATCTTCTGTAATAAAAAGATAAAGTTCAGAGCCCTCCGTGTCTTTTCTTGGCGGTTATGGGCGGAGCGGAGGCGGCGTGGAGCCGATCGGAAGGGGGGGACATCTGCGTGCGATCATTCATGGGGGACACATATAAAAGGATCCCCAGACAAAAATGTTTCCGAATACATTTAAAGGGGATGTGCCGCCATTGTACTTTGCTTGTGGATAGTGTAGTAAAGAGTTAAAGCCTATGTCCTGTTCAGGAGACTTCTCTTCACTTCCTGTCCTAGAGAACAGGAAGTGAGAGGCGATCTCTATAGGATAAGGGAGGACCCCTCTTAGACAGTTGTCACCAGAACATCTGACCCCATTGGAAGATTGTCCTTCACTTCCCATGCCCGGTGACAACAGGGGGAGATCAGATCAGCATGGCACCCAGTGTTGGCGGGCAGGCGAGGGGATCAGATCAGCATGGCACCCAGTGTTAGCGGACGGGGAGGGGATCAGATCAGCATGGCACCCAGGGTTGGCGGGCGGGGATCAGATCAGCATGGCACCCAGTGTTAGCGGACGGGGAGGGGATCAGATCAGCATGGCACCCAGGGTTGGCGGGCGGGGATCAGATCAGCATGGCACCCAGTGTTAGCGGACGGGGAGGGGATCAGATCAGCATGGCACCCAGGGTTGGCGGGCGGGGATCAGATCAGCATGGCACCCAGTGTTAGCGGACGGGGAGGGGATCAGATCAGCATGGCACCCAGGGTTGGCGGGCGGGGATCAGATCAGCATGGCACCCAGTGTTAGCGGACGGGGAGGGGATCAGATCAGCATGGCACCCAGGGTTGGCGGGCGGGGATCAGATCAGCATGGCACCCAGTGTTAGCGGACGGGGAGGGGATCAGATCAGCATGGCACCCAGGGTTGGCGGGCGGGGATCAGATCAGCATGGCACCCAGTGTTAGCGGACGGGGAGGGGATCAGATCAGCATGGCACCCAGGGTTGGCGGGCGGGGATCAGATCAGCATGGCACCCAGTGTTAGCGGACGGGGAGGGGATCAGATCAGCATGGCACCCAGGGTTGGCGGGCGGGGATCAGATCAGCATGGCACCCAGTGTTAGCGGACGGGGAGGGGATCAGATCAGCATGGCACCCAGGGTTGGCGGGCGGGGATCAGATCAGCATGGCACCCAGTGTTAGCGGACGGGGAGGGGATCAGATCAGCATGGCACCCAGGGTTGGCGGGCGGGGATCAGATCAGCATGGCACCCAGTGTTAGCGGACGGGGAGGGGATCAGATCAGCATGGCACCCAGGGTTGGCGGGCGGGGATCAGATCAGCATGGCACCCAGTGTTAGCGGACGGGGAGGGGATCAGATCAGCATGGCACCCAGGGTTGGCGGGCGGGGATCAGATCAGCATGGCACCCAGTGTTAGCGGACGGGGAGGGGATCAGATCAGCATGGCACCCAGGGTTGGCGGGCGGGGATCAGATCAGCATGGCACCCAGTGTTAGCGGACGGGGAGGGGATCAGATCAGCATGGCACCCAGGGTTGGCGGGCGGGGATCAGATCAGCATGGCACCCAGTGTTAGCGGACGGGGAGGGGATCAGATCAGCATGGCACCCAGGGTTGGCGGGCGGGGATCAGATCAGCATGGCACCCAGTGTTAGCGGACGGGGAGGGGATCAGATCAGCATGGCACCCAGGGTTGGCGGGCGGGGATCAGATCAGCATGGCACCCAGTGTTAGCGGACGGGGAGGGGATCAGATCAGCATGGCACCCAGGGTTGGCGGGCGGGGATCAGATCAGCATGGCACCCAGTGTTAGCGGACGGGGAGGGGATCAGATCAGCATGGCACCCAGGGTTGGCGGGCGGGGATCAGATCAGCATGGCACCCAGTGTTAGCGGACGGGGAGGGGATCAGATCAGCATGGCACCCAGGGTTGGCGGGCGGGGATCAGATCAGCATGGCACCCAGTGTTAGCGGACGGGGAGGGGATCAGATCAGCATGGCACCCAGGGTTGGCGGGCGGGGATCAGATCAGCATGGCACCCAGTGTTAGCGGACGGGGAGGGGATCAGATCAGCATGGCACCCAGGGTTGGCGGGCGGGGATCAGATCAGCATGGCACCCAGTGTTAGCGGACGGGGAGGGGATCAGATCAGCATGGCACCCAGGGTTGGCGGGCGGGGATCAGATCAGCATGGCACCCAGTGTTAGCGGACGGGGAGGGGATCAGATCAGCATGGCACCCAGGGTTGGCGGGCGGGGATCAGATCAGCATGGCACCCAGTGTTAGCGGACGGGGAGGGGATCAGATCAGCATGGCACCCAGGGTTGGCGGGCGGGGATCAGATCAGCATGGCACCCAGTGTTAGCGGACGGGGAGGGGATCAGATCAGCATGGCACCCAGGGTTGGCGGGCGGGGATCAGATCAGCATGGCACCCAGTGTTAGCGGACGGGGAGGGGATCAGATCAGCATGGCACCCAGGGTTGGCGGGCGGGGATCAGATCAGCATGGCACCCAGTGTTAGCGGACGGGGAGGGGATCAGATCAGCATGGCACCCAGGGTTGGCGGGCGGGGATCAGATCAGCATGGCACCCAGTGTTAGCGGACGGGGAGGGGATCAGATCAGCATGGCACCCAGGGTTGGCGGGCGGGGATCAGATCAGCATGGCACCCAGTGTTGGCGGACGGGGGAGGGGATCAGACCAGCATGGCACCCAGTGTTGGCGGCGGCTCTTCCTGGCGGGGAAGATTACATCTCCTCTTCTCCGGCATTGTTTGTACAGCTCTCGCCGTTAATCTGATCCGCGGGGCAGCGCGGAGTGCCGCCTTCCTTCCTGGCACCCCATTGGAGGACTCGGCAGGAAGATGTTTGCACAAAAGCTCACACTCAGAATGTCAACACAACGTGAGAACTCCGACAGCAGAGATTTGCTGACTGGGGAGATTCACCTTCTCTATGTGTCACCAAAACAGCCGGTGACGGGCGTATTTACTTTCTACAGTGGTCACCAGGACAGGAAGTGACAGGAAATCTCCAATGGGGGGGCGTCACTTGTTCCGGTGTCACCCCACATATGATACAAATGTATATATAATATCATCTGAAGCCAGCGTTGCACATGCAGCTCCTCCCCCCACCAAAAAACTTGCGTCCCCCCAAAATCCAGCGGGTTCTGTCCCTGCGATGTCAATCCGCAGACCCGAAATGCAGCCAGTCAGCCTTTTGACATGCTGATCCCTCTCTTCGTAGGCCGGAGTCCTCCTGGCAGGACACAGGTGACACCTTAGTGGCAGACATGGAGGTGTCACCAGGATGTGAGGTGT